TCCCACACAGGATAATACATGCTATAAAAAGCTATGCCCTTAGAGAGGGACTGCTTGCTTTCTCTGGGGAAGACAGGTCATGTTCTCATTAGGACAACAGTTACTGTGTCCACGCATTTCTCCTTGCTTCACACCTCACCCAGAACAAACACCCAATTAGGAACTTCAATCAATACTTATTAATGATGTCAATACTAATAGCCTTCACACCAAAACCTTCAGAAAGAACACAAGGATGGGTGAGAAGAAAGGAAACCCTGTGAGTGAGCTGAAATGCCCAGAAAATACATAAAGTGGAAACAATTGGGGAAATGCTCATTTAATAATAAACCCGGGAGTGTGGCGTGGCAGAGATGGATAGCCATCAGTAATGTCCATTCTCTGTGTCTACCTTACCAACAGAAGTTTCTGTTGTTTGGCTCAGTAGTTAACAAATTACAGTTCCTGCCTCCCTTGCAGCTAGGCAGAGCACTGTGAACAGCGCTGGTCAATGTGGTATAGCTAGAGCCTTCCAGGATTTCTAAGGAAGGTTTGCCTTCCCGATAGGAGCCCAGCCCTTTTTCTCTATCACTTCCTGCTTCATCTACCTGTTAGAACATGAGGCCGGAGGTAGTGCCCACACAGATGAAAGCCACATGCTAAGTAGTACCAGCTGAGCAAACTACAGATGGAACCCTGGGCACTGATGGTGCCATGGAGTCCTTGCACCTGTCTCAGACGTCACGTGCCCTGGAAGAACATGAAACTTTCCTTTGCTAACACATGTGCAGTGAGAATGGGTCTGCTTGACTATACAGCCACAGGTTCCTCACTTATGAAATGGGGATAATAAGATTAACTGTTATGAGAAATTAGAGATCATATGAGAAAATTGCAAGGTACCGAGCCTGGCATGCTGTTGACACGGAATAAATGACAGGAATCACAATTTTCACTGCTGGCAAGCTGTTCAAACCCATGAGGTCATTCTGTACAAATTCTGAGGTTAAAATGGAAAACAAAGTTAAATTAGATGCTTACTGAACATGACTGTGAGCCCACCAATCTACCAGGCATGCTGGAGACACAGCCAGACTGCCACAACCACAGTGCCTAGAGGTTTCTGTCTGAACAGTGAAATACTGTAATGCATTGAGCAACGAGACCCATGGTAGTAAAATCAGTTAGCGTCAGATTTACAGAAGCCAGTGTTTCCATAAATCGTGTCATAGAAACTGGCAGTGAAACCACTGTAGGCAGCTCTGTCTACTTTGTAAAGCATTTTCCTGTCTATTGCTTCACTGTATCTTCAGAACAGCCTGTGCAGGCCTGAGGGGTGACCCAGCCCACTCAGGGCGGCCACACCGGGACAAGAACCTAACTCCCAGCCTCAGTCCTGCTGGTCTTGCTCAGAGCCCTGGGGTCACGCCCACCTGGGTACACAGCACAGCAGCCGGTCTACATTGTAGCTGGAGGGGACTTGGACAGGGTAGAGTGAAGGGGAAGAACGCAGCACACACTGCTGGGCCCTTGATGCATTATCTCACAGCAATCTGTCAAATAAATGCCCTGACATTCTCCCAATATTTGCTTTATCTCAAATTTTTTTTTGAGACAGGATCTTGCTCTGTCCCCCAATCTTCTGCCATAGGACAGCATTATCTTGCCCATTTGGTAGATGAGAACATTAAGACTGGTGATAGTTAAAAAAGGTCCAGATCACACGGCTTGAACTCCCTGTTGAGTGGGCCCTGGACTGGGTGTATTAGTGTCTGAGCCCTTTTGCTGTCTGGAATGAAAGCTGCAGTGGCATGCTTCCAGTGACACCCTGGAGTGCAGATGACAACATGGCTAAAGACATGGGAGGTTTGGACATTGGAGCCCGGAGGTGCCATGGGCCCTGCAGCAGTGTTTTCAGCTCTGTTTTTAGTTTTCAGTGTATCTCCAATGGGCACAACAAATGCCCTGACAGTCTCCCAATATTTGCTTTATTTATTTATTTTTCTTTTTGAGACAGAATCTTGCTCTTTCCGCTAGGCTGGGTACAATGGTGTGATCATGGCTTACTGCAGCCTTGAACTTTCAGGCTCAAGTGATCTTCCCACCTCAGCCTCCTAAGTAGCTGGCACTATAGGTACATACCATAGTGACCAGCTAATTTAAAAAAATGTTTTTTTTGTAGAGACGGGATCTCACTCTGTTGCCTGTGCTGGTCTCAAACTCCTGGCCTCAAGTGATCCTTCCACCTCAGCCTCTCAAAGTGCTGGGACTACAGGTGTGAGCCATTGCACCTGGCCTACTTTATTTAAATTTAAAAGCTATGTTGGGCTGGGCACGGTGGCTCATGCCTGTAACCCTGGCACTTTGGGAGGCCGAGGAGAGTGGATCACCTAAGGTCAGGAGTTCGAGACCAGCCTGGCCAACATGGTGAAACCCCATCTCTACCAAAAACACAAAAATTAGCCGGGCGTAGTGGCAGGTGCCTGTAGTCCCAGCTACTCAGGAGGCTCAGACAGAAGAATCGCTTGAACCTGGGTGATGGAGGTTGCAGTGAGTTGAGATCACGCCACTGCACTCTAGCCTGGGTGACAGAGCGAGACTCCATCTCAAAAAATAAATAAATAAATAAAATAAATAAAAGCTATGTTGGAAAGAATGCAGTCTGCATAGATCTCTGTAGGCATTTGTGCCTGGAAACATTGTATACAGTAATAAATTTTTTTCTTAGAAAAGTCTAGACAGCTGTGGCTGTAATGGAGCAGCTCAGGAACTTACATAACCTCAGCAATGCATCAGGCGACATATGGTGGATTCCAGACCTTATTAAATAAGAGGGTTTGCTGTTAAAATGCTGAACAGTGAAATACTATAATGCATTGAGCAACGAGATCCATGGTAGTTAGTATCAGATTTAGCATCCATTTGCTCCTCTCCCTCCCCAACTTTCTAAGGAAGTTTTGACCTGGGTTCAAATCCTTCCTTCTTCACTTACTAGCACATTTCTCAGCAAGAAGGAAATACAGCCAAGATCACAAGCCACCAGTACCTGCATCGCCAGCCTGCACAAGATCCCTGAAATGGCAGCCCACTTACTTGGCTTCCTTCTACTAAGCAAGCCACAGTCATTTTCATCCATAGACAACAAAAGTCACACACGCAAGCCAACAGGGTTCATTTCTTGAATTAAACACTTTCCTTAAACACTTGCCAGGGAGATTTCCATGAGTCATTCAAAGAGCTTGAAACAGGTGAACACCAACAACCACTTTCGTACTATATTTAGAATGTCACAGAGAGCTCTGCCTCAGCTTTAGATATTATTCTGGAAACATCAAAAGGTGGGCTGTTTCTTTTCTCCCTTTATTCTAAGAAAGGAGGCTTTTAAAATTGTTTCTCAAAGTGCTACAGTCAGACAAAATAAACAAGGAGCAACATTTACTTAATCCCACAGATTTGGCCAAGTTTTATCTGATAAGAAGGTGGTTGGTGCTAAGATACAAAATAGATTCTTGGGACTCTATCTGCATAGTACAAATATTCTTTGCCTTCAGGATGTCTCTAGAACATAATGATGATGAGTGTAACAAATTTTAAAGGACGCAAATGCAATAGGAAAAAAAATTCCTATCTGAGGCTTTTACATGTAAGAAGTACCAAAGTTAATAATGACACAGTCCCCATACTAAAAGCCTCAGAGATAATCCTCAAATATCATTCCTCAAATAGTCTCACAAATATTACTGGGACAGTTTGCAAAGCACTAAAGAATGTCACAACTATGGTAAGAAAGAATTAGTCAATACTGTCAGTTATGAGGATGCTTGTATACATCCAGCTGAATAACAGCTCCTGGCAAATCACATTTGCAGCTCTTCACCTACAGAATGTCCCAGCAAGCTTTTCACCTCCCGTGCAGCTTCTCTGTACAGATAAGGCTTTTCTGCATTTACAAGGACTCCCAGGCCTTTGTCACTGCTCCCCTGTCCCTCTTTTCACAGACATCACTTAATTATTATCAATTTTCAAATCAGATAAAACAGAAGCAACATTTCTGGATCTGGGTCACAATTAAAGAATTTTACAATGAAGCTGTGGGGAAATCACCGTGTTTAGTCACAGGGAAGTCTTAATTTTAAAAAGTGTTAGGCAAAGAACTAAACTGGGAGACTTCCCAGCCGTAGAGAATGTTGCAAACATGATTATGAAACTACGTACCGACTCAGGCAACGAACACTGGATTTTGATGGTTGTGGATTTTGCTGCAGGACAAAGAATCAAAGACCTGGCCTGGGGTTGTGTGTGTGTGTTTGTGTATGGATGTATGTTTATGTATGCATGTATATGTCTATATGTATGTATGAATGTGTGTATATGTGTGTAGGGGTGTGTGTGTGTGCGCACGTGTGTATGTATGTGTGTGTGTGCGCTTTATGTGTATGTGTATAGGTACAGGTGTGCATGTGTGGGTGTATGTATGTGTGCATGTGTATGTGTGTGCACATGTGTGTATGACTATATGCATGGGTGGGTGTGTGTCTCTGTATATGTATGTGTGTTGGGTTTTCTTGTGACCAATATGGCCTGTTGAGGCTTCTACTATTCTCCTGGTCTGAAATGCTTGGTAAACCTCGTGTGGTTAAACCGGGATTTACATTGCACTTGAACTGACTACATCATGTCCATTTGAGGGCACTTGGAGAAAAACCAGGGCCCATTTTGAAAGAAAGCACTTTATAAATGCAGGAAAGAATTCCTTGGCCTCGGGTAAGTTCTGAGATAAACATATCCGACTTTGTTTTCCAGTTGAGGTTTCTAATCAGCCTGCATTCAGTCTCAGACGCTACAGAATGTGCCCCTCAGACATTTTTTTTTGTTTATGTAACTACATTTTTTTACTTAGAAACATCCATGGGGAATAGAAGAATTGAGAAGGAAGGATGCTGGTGGTGAGATGGACTAGAGAGGGAGATCTCCAAATTGTCAGGGCCCGGCCAGCTCTGACGGCGCCCTGGGACACTCACCATGGTCGTGGGCGAACACCAGCAGGTCCAGCCCCATCAGCATCTGAGCCAGCTCTTCATAGCGGCCACAGTGCTCTCCAGCTCCATGGGACACAAAGATGAGGGCCCTGGAGGGACGAGAAGGGAGCCTGGTTAGGAAAGCCCAGATGGGGCTAGGTGTGGTGACTCACGCCTGTAATTCCAGCACTTTGGGAGGCTGAGGCGGGCAGATTGCCTGAGCTCACGAGTTCGAGACCAGCCTGGCCAACATGGTGAAACCCCGTCTCTACTAAAATACAGAAAAATTAGCCGGGCGTGGCAGTGTGCACCTGCAGTCCCAGCTACTTGGGAGGCTGAGGCAGGAGAACTGCTCGAACCCAGGAGGCAGAGGTTGCAGTGAGCCAAGATGGCGCCACTGCACTCCAGCCTGGGTGACAGAGTGAGACTCCGTCTCCAAAAAAGAAAAGCCCAGATGGCTGCCACTGTGCTGCAGCAGCACCAGAGCTTACACAACCTCAGCAACACCAGGAGCCACACTACGGGCTCCAGGCGTTGTCAAATTAGGGGAGTTTGCTGTTAAAATGCTGAACTTCAGAGTCACACAGAATGGAGCCCAAATCCCCACTCTTCCTGTGGGCTCCTCGGGCAGAGCTCCGGTCCCATGAAGTTTCATTTCTTCGCCTGTAACATGGTAAGAATAGCATCACTCTGCGGGTGCTTGTGAGGCTCATGGGAGCTAATCGATGCCAATGGCCCAGGCAGAGTGCTGGCGCGGGGCAGGCAGGTCCTCCACCAGGGTCTGCTTCCTCCCTCGGGGGCGAATGCGGCGGCATTTAGATTCCCAACTATCCAATTTTCAAGACCTATATTCTTAGCAGAAGACCCACGGAGAGCTAGAGTCTCCTTCAGGCATGGAGTAAATGCCATGAGGGATACCCACCAACTTCTGCTGCTGCTAATGGTGATGGGGGGAGAGAGGAGGAGGAGGAGAACAAGCTGCCACCTTCCTGAGCGTTTACTATGCACCCGTTCCTCTGCAACTCCACATGCAAGATTTCTAACCCTCCAGTCATCAGATGATTTATCTTCTTTACAGATGAGAGTGAAACACATAGAAGTTAAGTGAGTTGGGCCAGGCAAGGTGGTTGATGCCTATAATTCCAGCACTTACGGAGGCCGAGGCAGGCAGATCACTTGAGACCAGCTTGGTCAACATGGTAAAACCCCATCACTATAAAAAATACAAAAATTCAGGCGTGGTGGCACACACCTGTAATCCCAGCTACTTAGGAGGCTAAGACTGCAGTTGCAGTTGAGCCAAGATTGTGCCACTGCACTCCAGAGTGGGACTCTGTCTCAAAAAAAAAAAAAAAAAGAAAGTTAAGTAAGTTGTCCAAGTCACACAGCAAGTTGGCAAAACGCCATTCACAGTATGTTACCACTGGCTTTCTGGTCTCCAAGAAGCTGCTGTAGGGCTCAGAACACAAGCCATGGAGTCAGGACAGACGTTGCCTTGGCAGAGGCCCCCCGTGCCTGATCTGGCAACCTCTCCTGGGCCTTTCTGCTTGGCCCTGGCCTCTCCGCACACCCCCGCTGACCGTCACTCTGGTTCCCCTGTTGCCTGCCTGCTTCCTAATGCCCCCACCTCGACGTCAGCCCACAACCCTCTGAGGACTGGACCCCAGAGCTGTATCCCAGCCGAGCCACATGAACAGGGTCCCAGCTGAGGACACAGACACCTCATTCTACAACTGTGTTCTTCCTATGACTCTTTTCGGCCAGGCTGTGTAAGGGCAGAATGGCACCAGTTTGTTTTATGGTACTTCAATTAGCCCCATTTTTCAAATCACCTTTGCCATCTGTCCTTTTCCTTTTTCCTTCCTTTTTCCTAAAAACAGCAGAGGAATGTTCACGCCTTCTTCACTGCTCCATGGAATGCCCAGCCACCTCCACTCGATCAGATGTGTACTTGTGTAAATGACATCTGCCCGCCTCACATTTCTGGGGTTGGCCGATGGGATTTCTTTCCTGCATTTCCCTTGGCTACTGAGGAGCATGGCTGGAACCTCTAACTAGTCAGCATCTTCCGTCTTCAAAAGGGGCTGTGCTTCCAGAAGGGATAGCTTAAATACTCTAACCCCCTTTGGGAGCACAGCCACTGCTGTCATAATTCAGGCTACTGTTAATGCAGACAGACAAGTCGTTGAGCTGGATCATGCAACTCTCCAGCCTCTCACCGCAGCCAGGGGCCACCTAGCAGAAAAGGACTTCGGGGTTCCATTTAGCAACCAAAGAAATGGCACAAGACATTGCCATCATGCCTGGAATTGCCTGTCAAGAGAATCCAGCACCAAGTCAATATGTGCAAAAACACGTGGTCTCTTACTCTACAGCAATTCCTTCTAATCCAGAGGTTCTCAACTTTGGCCACATATTAGAGTCACCTGGGGAGCTTTCAAAAGGCTGATGCCTGGGTCCCACCCCCAGGACCCCTCTGGGTTTAATTGGTCTGAGGTTAGAAAAGCTCCACAGTGGCTCCGATGTACAGCCAAGGTGGAGAAGCACCTGTTCTCATCACCGTGTTGAGCTTAGGCCATGGTGCTGCTCAGAGGCTAAGTGGAACTTAAGCATGGTGAGAATGCAGCCATCGTGGAAACTTAGAGCATGCTTAGAGCCATCAATCTCCCTGGGGGGTATGCTGGGTAGACCACGGGTTCTAGCCATAAAGGTTGACCGATATAGCCATCCCACTGCAGGCGGTGGGGGCCACTGCCACCCTTCTCTCTGCACAGGAAGAGCCCGTTGGCAGCACCTGCAGGCTCAGCCTTCGACAGCCCCACACTTCCACCCCCAAGGCCTGGTCAGCACCCTGAGAACCCACCATTGGACACCTGGACTCATTCTGATCTTCAGCTTCTGTTGTGGTAAGTAGGTTTCTCCTTAGTGCCTGGATTCAGATCCTGCCGGGACCCCGATTCTGATAACTCAATCTCCCCTTCCCCCTGGCTGCCATATTTACATGTTCCCAGGACCTTAGTGTGTTTTGTAAATCTGTCCAGCAAAGTGAAATCAAATCACGTTACTCTTCTGCTTTAAGCCTTCCAGAGACTTTGCACTGCAACAGAACAAAGCCTGTCTGCCTCTGAAACACCTCTTCCCCTCTGCCCTGCTCCCAAGCTCCAAGGCCTCCTTTCTGGTGCCCAGATGTGCCAGGCGATGGTGTGCTGTTAAATGTTTAACAACTGGGTGTGGGGGTGGTTCTAGGGTTCCTCCGCCCACTGCAGTGCCCAGGGCAGAGCCTCCTGGAAGCCCGCCTGTGCTGTGCTTACTGGCACCAGGGTTTCCACGTGCTTCACCTCACCCACTGTGAGCACACCCCTCCTCCTGCGAGACCTTCCGCCTCCTTCCCCACACACCTGCTGCAGGCGGAGCCACTGCTGCCGCTCCCTCCTCTCTTCAGACCTCTTCCCAGCCTGGCCCAGCCCTTCCCAGCTTCCCGCCCTGTTGCCATGAACACAGCCGGCCATATCCTGAGCTATGTGTGTCTGCATTTGTCTCTCTGGGTAAATGGACAGACCCCAGCTCCAGGCTTCCTGATGGAAGGTCACATTCACCACTGGATGCTGGGTGCTGCGTGGAAGCTTCCCCTTCAGGGTTTTACAAAACATTGTGCTTCTATTTCTGCTCTAAAAACATACATGACCGAGCACTGAGAAACCCAGATGTGGAGGAAATGCACATCCCAGTTGCTGGGAGGCTGTGAACAGACAGCAAAGTTCAGCCAGAACAACCTAGTTGGACTCCCAGTGTGACCACGCAGGACCCTGGGCAAGTCGCCTGATGGCCCTCAGCCTTTCTCCTTGGTGTTGAAATAGAAAGAATGGGATGGCAGCAACAGTGGGTCCTACTTTCCTTCAGCTGAGTCTGCAAATGTGAATGAGAGCTTATTACGTGCCAGGTCCCCAGGACACTGAGATGAACAAACAACGTTGTCCCTGCCCGCACACAGCTTGCAGTCACTCAGCAGAGAACACATGTGTGATTGTGTACTGTGAGGAGCACTGTGAGCACCACGAGAGGGTCGACAGATAAGGGAGCCTGACCTAGACTCCAGGGAATCGCCAGGGAAGGCCCCTGAGTGTCTGAGTGACTGGGAGTTGTCCTGGTGCAGAGGTCCTGCTGGGGACACACAGGTGTGCCTACTCCAGGCACAGAAGGAAGGCCCTGAGTCCAGAACACCGTGTGGAGGAGGAAGGTGAGAGGTGCACAGAAGGCTGGGTCCACAGCCCCAGGGGCAGCAACGGGGCGCTGGAGTTCTCCTCTGTGCAGGGAATGGTACTCAGCAGGGCAGCGACCTGATCTGACTTCAGCTTTGTGAGGACTGCAGGGCTGCTGCGAATGGAGTGGGAGATGAGAGACAACATTCATCAAGGGGCTGACAGGGCCCTGAACAGGTGCCAAGGAAAGTGGTTGGTTTCTGCCCTTCCTCCCTTGCCGTTCTGCAACCTCAACAACACGCAGCAGCAGCAAATTAGCAGAGCCATTTATGCAGACAAGGCAATACCCACAGCAGCAGAAATTAGGTTGCAGAGGAGGCTGGCTAAGATCTTTTTCCTGGAACTTCTTTAACGGCTGCAGCCAGTTGGGAGCCAGTCGTTCAGGGAGAAGGCAATGACTGTGGGAGGGGCGCCCAGCCCCAGAAGCAGATGGCCTGCCTGGCATCCAGCCCCGGGAGGTGGGGCAGCTCCCAATAAAGCACACACAGCCCTTGAGATGAACAAGCCGCAGAGCCTCTCAGAATGTACAAACCAGGCTACTTTATCCTCTCCATCGAAAAACGAATGCCCCCTTTATGCCTTTGGTCATTAATCAGGTGACCTAACCTCTCACCTGTGCCTCAGTTCATTCACCTGTGAGGTGGGGATAATCCCAACACCACCCGCCTCGGAGAATGACGTCGCAAGGTAAATAAGGAAATGCGGATGGGGCAGGGGTCTTGTCTGGGCTAACGAAAGCCAAAGCCCCCATGACTGTCCGCTAGGAAGCCCTTTGCTCCAATGGCACAGGTGAGCCACTTGCCAGGTGAGTCACTTGCCATCTGGAGGTGTGGGGTGAAGCTCTGGCCCTC